TGCGGACTGCCTGTATTGGCACCTGTTCAATTCTGCTGCATCTCGCCCGCATCTTCGCGGTTCAGCAAGCGCTTGCACTGCTGGCAGGCCCACTGCAGCTGTCTCGTGAAGAGGCGCACATTGTGGTGCGACTGGAGGCAGTCGCCGCCTGTGAGGATGTGCAGCGCCACCTCCGTCGTGGACAGCCAGAAGCACCGGTTCGCCATCGAGGCCAGCCAGATACAGACTCGCCGAGCGCGGCGAGCGAGGTCCTCGGTCGCCCGGCGCCGCTTGGCCAGCGCCTGGCCCTCGCCATCAGCGCCGCCCTCACTGAGCACCTGAGGGGGCGGGGGTTCTGACGTCGATGAAAGAAGAAGGAGGAGAGCGGGAGGCAAGGAACAGGCAGACGAAAGCCCTTTTAGGCTTTACCCGGCGTGCGGGCATGCCCTTTTTGGCTGTTGCGGGGGCAAGCCCGCGCGGTCGCCCGCAGGCGACAGGGCGCCCTGGCCCTCTTCGTGAGCGCGCAGGCGCGCGGCGTACTTCATGCGCATGATTGCCCGCTGAAGCGCCCCGCGGCACGACAGCGACGGTAAAAAGACAAATTCGGTGACGCTGGAGCCCCTAATGCGACGAGGAAGCTACAGATGCATCTTCTGTGACACTGGAGCTCCACAGGACAAGTCAGCTCAGCCTGCCTCAGCCTCAGCCTGCATCAGCCTCAGTCTCAGCCTCAGCCTGCGTCAGTCTCAGCCTGCTGCGCTCCCGCATAACTACCCTTTCGGCCTCAGCCTGCCTCAGCCTCAGCCTGCATCAGCCTCAGCCTCAGCCTCAGCCTGCCTAAGCCTCAGCCTGCTGCGCTCCCGCATACTCCTGCGGCCTCAGCCTGCATCAGCCTCAGCCTGCATCAGCCTCAGCCTCAGCCTCAGCCTCAGCCTCAGCCTGCCTCAGCCTCAGCCGCACCTCCGATGGCGCCGAGGTGGCTCCCGTGCGTACCTGCACCCACGGAACTCACCTCCGATGGCGCCGAGGTGGCTCCCGTGCGTACCTGCGCGCACGGAACGTTTCTCCGATGGCGCCGAGGTGGTTCCCGTGCGTACCTGCACGCACGGAACGCACCTCCGATGGCGCCGAGGTGGCTCCCGCGCGTGCCTGCACGCACGGAACGCACCTCCGATGGCGCCGAGGTGGCTCCCGTGCGTACCTGCACGCACGGAATGAGCTCCGCCGGATTCTCCTGGTTTCTGCCGGTTTCCGCCCGGAACCCCCTGGAGTGTCAGGATGCTCTCTTTTGACCCTACTAGAAACCTATCAGCACAAACTGTCAGGTAAAAAAGACTCCCCCTACAGGCGGATGTTGGACGAAAAATCAAAAATACAAACAACAAAAAAAAACGGCAAAGCAACCTAACAGCGATGTGTAGGAGCATATCTGGAAGCATTCCCCTTAAGATTCGGATGAGAATCCAGTTGCAGAATTCTGCTGTTCTCGCAGTCGTAGTCGCATTCGCGATGACAGTCGCAGTGGCAACGGCAGTCGCAGTCACAGCCTCAGCCTCAGCCTGCCTCAGCCTCAGCCTCAGCCTGCCTCAGCCTCAGCCTGCCTCAGCCTCAGCCTCAGCCTGCTTCAGCCTCAGCCTCAGTCTGCCTTCAGCCTCGGCCTCAGCCTCAGCCTGCCTCAGCCTCAGCCTGCATCAGCCTCAGCCTCAGCCTCAGCCTGCCTCAGCATCAGCCCTCAGCCTCAGCCTCAGCCTGCAGCCTCAGCCTGCTTCAGCCTCAGCCTCAGTCTGCCGTCGGCCTCGGCCTCAGCCTCAGCCTGCCTCAGCCTCAGCCTCAGCCTCCTCAGCCTCAGCCTCAGCCTCAGCCTCAGCCTCAGCCTCAGCCTTCAGCCTCGGCCTCAGCCTCAGCCTGCCTCAGCCTCAGCCTGCATCAGCCTCAGCCTCAGCCTCAGCCAGCCTCAGCCTGCCTCAGCATCAGCCTGCTTCAGCCTCAGCCTCAGCCTCAGCCTCAGCCTCAGCCTCAGCCTCAGCCTCAGCTGCAGCCTCAGCCTCAGCCTCAGCCTGCTCAGCTCAGCCTCAGCCTGCGCCTCGGCCTCAGCCTCAGCCTCAGCCTCAGCCTCAGCCTCAGCTGCCTCAGCCTCAGCCTGCATCAGCCTCAGCCAGCCTCAGCCTCAGCCTGCCTCAGCCTCAGCCTCAGCCTCAGCCTCAGCCTCAGCCTCAGCCTCAGCCTGCTCAGCCTCAGCCTGCCTCAGCCTCAGCCTGCATCAGCCTCAGCCTCTGCCTCAGCCTCAGCCTGCCTCAGCCTCAGCCTCAGCCTCAGCCTCAGCCTCAGCCTCAGCCTGCTTCAGCCTCAGCCTCAGTCTGCCTTCAGCCTCGGCCTCAGCCTCAGCCTGCCTCAGCCTCAGCCTGCATCAGCCTCAGCCTCAGCCTCAGCCTGCCTCAGCATCAGCCTGCCTCAGCCTCAGCCTCAGCCTGCCTCAGCCTCAGCCTCAGCCTGCTTCAGCCTCAGCCTCAGTCTGCCTTCA